TGGCAGGCTTCGCTGGGGGAACAGAGCCGGGCACACAGCTGAGGCCGGCGGCCGCGGCTCGGTTCTCGCTCCCGCCTTCTGACAGCAAGAGCAAGTTGCTTCTCCCCTTTTAATTTAACATTTTGATATTGCAGTGTTAGGATTTCTTCGAAAAAAAGGATATTGGACGTTAGGCTGCAGTGGATGGTGAGGGAGTTAAAACAGTGCAGAAATGACGTTGCAGGCTATGAGGAGATAGCAAGGCAGCAAGGCCTAGGCATCCTTTCCAACAGTCGTCTTTTAGCGTTTCGCTATGTAAGTGAGATCAATAAAGCAGCACTAGTTCAACCTAAGCTGATGACTGCATGGCATAGTAGGAAACTGCGTGCGAACTGAGGCCCGAAACTGTTCTGAGGCCTGAGACAACCGGTCAGAATTATTTGGCTTAGCCGCAACAGAGCTGTGGAATACCACAGGGTATTTGCCGGCTCGTTGATAAAAGATGTCACATTTCGTATATTTTGCAATGAAAGCCTAGTTTAAAAAAAAGAATAATTCCTAGTTTAAAAGTCTAAGGCTCCATATTTTAGTTGAAGGATCACTTCCATTTGCCTGTATGTTAAACTGATCAGTATCCTTGTAAATTGATGAAAAGACACACATTGAATGTGTTCCTCTGCAGTGTATTCAGAGTGCTAATCAGGTTTTTAATTTAGAGGTTTCTTTTGTAAAGTACAATTTTTTTAAAATACCCGTTCATTGGAACAAGTTTCTGATTTTTTTAGATGAGCTTAAACCTTTATTAAATCAAGTTGTGAGATTTTTTTTCATACTCAAGTACCCCAGATCTATTAATTACGATAATTAACTCTATCCCAAACTATCTGTATCCTGTTCAAGTTATGTCAAGTGATCTCTGGCAAATTGGAGGATGTCACTTGAGGTTGACGAAGTCATTGAGGTTATGGAGAAGTACTCATCAGTCCCACCGTGTATGGTATACTCTGTTAAGCTGGTGAAGGCCCCCAGCCGCACTGAGAGACGGCGTGGATGAATACCGGTTTATGCGTGTCTTAGAGATTTCCAGGAAGCTCAAATAAGCACGTGGGAGCAGCAACTGAATGTTGTTGGAGGCAAGAGAATTTAGGCTGTTGACAGTCCAAGTAGGAAAAGGCTTCCGAACTGAAGGCCTCAACACAGCCTTTAGTCTCCAAAAGAAAGGGGGGAAAGTGTTCTTTTTCCAGGAAAAAGAAAATGCTATATAAAAAAGGGATAGTGTTTGGAGACCAAGAAAGACACAGAAGGCCACTGATCTTATGTTTGGCTTTTTAAATTAAGTCATCCAGTTTCATTTTCTAGACTTTCCTGTTATTGAGATTTTAATAAGAAATAACAAAGCTGGTCGATAACTGATGAGATGGAAACTAGGCTTTGAAGTTAGAGAAAAAAACTGAAGTAAGGGAAAGTAATAACTGGTTCTGGAAGGAATCATTGTAAATAGCAGTCTACTTGATACAATTTTGAACAGGCTAATTTAAATAGGCCCAGATTTGGATTTGATTGCGGACTTTCCCAAAGATTAGGAGTGTTTGATTTTGTTCCATTTTTACTGATACTTTTTAAAATCTTAGTATTCAAGGCTTTAAGCAAAGATGACCTCAAGAGTTTTCTGAAAGCCGTTGTATTAAACATAATGGCAAGGATGACAGAAGACGTGTCTATGAGGAGGGTGTGTAAAGATCCCTGCTTCTCTGCAGTTTCTGCTTGATGGAGAGTGCATTTATTTAACACCTAGAATTCTCCTTGCAACTTTTCCCATAACAGTATTTTATTGAAAAATCTTCTTATGGTTAGCCAGTCTCCTCTGAGCTTGCTGCAGAGAGCACAAATGATTCTTAAAGTTTTTAACAAACAAAACTTTGTAATAATGATGATACGTAGTTCAGGATTAATTGCATTTAGCTCATCCGCTTACTCGTTTTCATCCTACCAAGGTCCTCTCTCATACTTTCTATTTCCTTGCCCTGGGTTTCCCATCTGTTCCCTCACTGTGGGAATATCTCATCCCTTGTATTTTACACTTCTGTCTTTTATAAAAGTTTGTGATGAAGGTCAGCATTAAGCTAGTTTAGCCTGCGGCCCAGTGCTCAGAGGTGGTGAGTAGTTTCTGTCCCTTTTTGGATGGAGAATGAGAATGGAGAGAAACTGGCCCTAGCTCTATCACATTTATCATGGCACAGCTTTGACACAGTCTCTCACAAATAGAAATATGAGATTTCAGCTGATCATCTGTTGGAGGTTTCTTAGCAATATATAGAGTACTGAGTTGATTGCTAAACCAAAAGAGATATTGATAAAAATTTTAAAATTGGTTTGTAACATTGCTCAATAAGGTGGCACTGCCTAGTGGATGATTAATGAAGCTTGGTATCTCCCTCATCCTAGCAAAAGCTTCAAAGGTCTTTGTCATTTCAGACATTTCATGTCTGTTCTGGATTCTTGCCCAGTTCACCACTTACACTTTACTGAGATTCCTTTCCTAATTTGTTGTGGCATGAAAACCTGGGCATGCAGAAAGAGCTGTACACAGAGCATTGTCAAACCCACCGTCTAAACAAAACTGAGAGAAATAAATCTCTTCCTAGCTTTGCTAAAACACATGTCAGTTAGTTGTAAAAATGTTAATAAAATTTCTTCTTAGCAAAATGTGATTTTTCACAGCCTTTTTAGTCTGCCTAGCATAGTACTTCAAAGCACATTTGTGTGGGAAAATTCCACAGAAAGGTACAGGAAATACGGGAAGGTCAGTGTCTAGCACAGCTCTCTGCCACAGACCTGAAACACCGCAGTGGCAGCAATCCTCGCCGGGAGCCTAGGCCCTCTGACAAGCAGCAGCTAACAGCATGGTGGTGCCTGTGCTCATCTCTCACCATTTCAGTAAGAGCCTACGTAATCTAAAGGACCTAAGCCTGTCTGCATTTTTGTTGTATTTTATAATCAGAACCACTGTGATCTCACAAGGTTCAGGACAATTGTGTGGTGTGCCGTGCTCTTAGACAATTTCCTGAACCTAAATTAACTTTGCGCTCAGAAAGAAACCAAAAGTCTTACTGGTTAATAAGATGCAGCCCAGTTCCCTGATTAGCATTTATGGTCCTCACCATTTAATTAACAAATGTAAATATTTTTAAATAACATTTTATAATCTCAGTAAGGCACTTCGGTGCATGAATTATGGTGCATTAATTCATGCTTAGTTGCACTGACAGTGCTTGGCCTTCTGCCTTGCTCCTGACAACACAGTAGGCTTGAATTAAGGCACCGTGTTTCACACCTTCATATTTCCTAAGGTTTAAAAACAGATAAAAATAGCCAGGAATAGGTATCTGTCCCTATGCAGAAGAGTCTGTGATTCACCCTGCTTTAAGTAAGTCATAGATTTGTTTCTCAGTGTCACAAGTACTAGGGCTTAACAGGTATAGAAAAATGCCCTTGTTCTGGAAAACAGTAGTTATAGCTATACTGAAATCACTCCAGTTAGCTTTATACTAGTTGGCTTGGTCCTGATGGCAGACTACCACCGACAATAGCACTCTTTGCATAAGCTAGCTCCCTAAATTAGTGTAGCTGGCAATTTGGTCGGGTTTTGTAGCTAGTCCTGATTCCTTCCTTCTCATGGATGGTACTTGGATGAGCTAATTTAAAGCCGATTTCACTTACACCTCTGTCTCTCTCCAAATAGCTGAACAGACTTGTCTTTCAGATCAGTAAGAGAATACAAGCATTGTTCTACCATGAACGCAGATTAGAAGGAAAAACAACAATTTAACTTTGATGCTGTTTTCTTCTGTTTTAGTACAAGTCCTGCACATAAGTATTACTTGGCTGTTGACCCAGTGTCAGAATCCCTTTACTTGTCAGATACGAACACCAGAAAAGTCTACAAAGCAAAATCTCTCATTGAAACAAAGGATCTGGCCAAGAATGTGGATGTGGTGGCCGGCACGGGTGATCAGTGCCTGCCGTTTGACCAGAGTCACTGCGGCGATGGTGGAAAGGCATCCGAGGCCTCGCTCAACAGTCCAAGAGGTAGGAGGAGAACGTGCCCGCAGTACACAATGGTAGTCCTCTGTCATTTCCTTACCTTGCTTAGGAACTCAGGTACGATTGGACATACAAAAAGGGGTTGGAGGTGACAAGTGGTTCAATCTATGAGCAAGCTAAATCGCTTCACAAAGCTCGCTCATGCATTTGATACAGCCAATCCTTTATGAGGGAAGAGTGAGCAGCACACTACAGCTAGCGTCCTCTGAAATGCTCTCTTTCCTTGTGTGGCAACACTCCTCTTTAATTACCTTTCTATTACAGGGTGGAAGCATCTAATTATATTTAGCTTTGAAGCAAATAATGTGGGTGTGAAGTCCACTTTGAGACTTAATGCATTCAGGTGACTCCTGTGATGTGAACGGAGCTTGCACATACATACTAAGTCAGCGTACTTAAAGTAGAGAGCCAGCAAAATTGAGTTTATTTGGAAATCTGTAGTTTATCCTTCCTCATTAAAAACACTTTGCAAAGTGTCCACATCTCATGTACTCCAAGTAAAATGAGTGTTTAGATGCAAACTGCTTTCCGAATGCCTCTTATATTGCCACAGGCAAAACGCACGTGAAGTCTTGGATCCCCATGAGCGCCACAGTTAATCCACTTGCAGTGTGCATTAGAACTGTGATAAAGACTCTGGACTTGATCCTCTAAGGAAGCTGTTCAGCCTCAACTCCCGCCGAAATCACGGAGACCACAGGGTACTCAGCATTTCTGATGGCGGAGCTCTAAGTGGGCTTTTAGCATGCTCCCCCTGTAGCGCAGTGCTTGCTCCTAATGACTAGCTCTAAGGAAGAGTTTTGATTATTTTCGTGAGCTAATAAAGGAAGGCTGTATATCAGTAGGAAATTAGAATGTATATTCAGGCAGAAACGTTTCTAAGACAAGCGAATAATCCTGTTCTAAGGCTTAGCAAGAGACACATTGTAATTATAGATAGAGTGACTTTAACATGTCTTTAATGATAGAAGGTAAGTGCGAGGTAAGTACAAATAAATGTTAATCTTCAAGCAGCTAATTAATGTAATGAATCAGTTCTAAAAATAGTAGAAAACAAGGGTTTTCAGATCCTTTAGCAGAAAACAATCAATGCATTATTGCTGATTACAATTGATTATATCTAATTACACTACAGTTAGTTGTTCCATCTTATTGTCTTATTGGGGAAGTATGTTGGTAAAAATCTGTAATATGCCCTCTACTTTAAAAATACCCATGCGTAGCTGGCTTCTTCAATGGAAAGTTCTAGTCACAAAGAAATTAACAGGAATAAAAATACAATTTATCGGTTTTGGGGCAGCGAGCGAAAGTTAATAAAATTAACTGTAAGTGGACAATGGCTCATATACTGGCAAATTCAGATAATGGCTCCCAGCTGGTTTTGAATTTTGCACTTGCTCTAAGTTATAACAGTTTACCTTGGAATTGGTTTTGTTGCATTTTGTTATGCTTTGGGTTTTAGATTTTAACCTCAGGAACTTAGGGACTACAGCATTCCGTATTTGTATAAGGCCTAGCACAGTACAGCGTCAACCTGTAGTCACCATCACACGATGAATAGTTAGTTGTGTATTATCGTAATGGTCTTATGTGTGCTGTGTGTGCTACGTTGTCTTCCTCTTCACTGTAAGAGGTTGAATAACCTCAAAAGCAGTAGGGAGTACTTGCCTAGTACCCGTAAATTTATTATTTGTAAGAAAAGCGGAAATTTTCCTGTACTTCAGTACAGTTTGGCGATTATTTTGATCACTTATTTTGCTTGTTATCAGAATCATTATTAACTCACAAGATACCAGGTCACGTTTCTACTGAAATTACATTCAAACAGTGTATGCAAAATCTTTTTTCTAGAACACAGGAAATGCGGATAAAATTTTTGGTGCGTGCACAGACTCGCCAACCTCTTGTCCGCATTTAAACATACTTGAGCACAAAGCAGCAAAACGTTATGTAGCATTTGACTATGTGAGCAAACAAATAATTTCTAATTCCTCTCCTTCAAGATATTTTCAACACAAAAAACATGTGCATGATGATGCAGATGATAGAATTGCTCAATGACCAGACAAGAGTTTAGCATTTGTTTTTTAATCTGATGTGGAGAAACTTTAGCTCTGTTTTTTTTTTTCCATCTACCTTTTGATTTTTGTCCTCAACATTCGTTCTTTTGCAGTAAAGGAAAAAGGTAACAAATTTACCTATTTTACTTGATAGAAAGATAATATCTGGGAAAGAATTCCGTTTAGCCGCTGTCTGACCTTGGTTCATTACAGCTGGAGTTACATTCTCACTTTTGGCTGCTTGTGGCTTTGAATGTAGGCTTATCTGTATGACTCCGTTTGTCCATTTGTAAAACTGATAGGAAAAACCTGTTGCGTAACAGTAATTGGAAACTTAATACTGTTTGGTAACATCCCTCAGATGTACGGGAATAAGTGGAAATTCACATATGATTTTTTCAGTTACTTTTCTGAATGAAAGTTGCTGCAAATGCTCTTTTGTCTTTTCTGAACTCACAGTGATTTTCCTACTTCAGTAGGCTTGCAAGTCCTTTTTGTAGAGTTCTAGAATATTATTTAATCATTTAAAGCTTTCATAAACTTTGATTTCTCAGGATCTTTATTTGGCATGACTGTCTTTACCTAGTCACCAGGAATTGAGGGCCCAGTGATAAAACATAGTAAAGTCGCCCTAATCAATTACCATTTGATCCGCTTTCCTCAATTTTTATTTTACCAGTAATTCACAAGCTGTATAGCTCTGTTCAGTCTGTTCCCACTTCTCTATGAAGGACTAAAGATGAAGGAAGGGGCTTAGTGGACATTAATCTTGCACAGTTGTATATGTGTTTGAGCTGACTTTGAAGGATGCTTTTAAACATGCATGGGTGATGTAGTTGAAACTTGAACTTCAATATATTATTTTTACTGCAACTTTCTTTAATTCTGTAGAGAACTCAGACTAATGAGTCATGTAATAGATGACCTAGTACTTAAGCAGAATGTGAAATGATACGAGGTGGGGACATAAAATAAGATCTGTGACAAGCTGAACACATTTATTACACAAGAAGATATTGAAAATGAAGAAGTAACTACACAAGGTATTAATCACTGTCTGAATTACAATCTCTTGAACTTTACCAAGCAACAGACTTCAATTTTGGGGTGGAGGGTTCTGTTTGGTGAGTTTGGGAATCTTTTGGAAAAAATATTTTGGCCCATCTAGTCACCAACCCTATCATTTGAATAGTCTGCATTAATACTTCCAAAAAGGCACTAAGGGACAGGGTCGTGTTTTTTACTAGATAAGTCACAGAATATTGGAGGAGTAAGAAGCACTAAAATGTACAGAAATACCTGGGAGTTGTTCCACTTAGCACTGCAAAGCCAACGCCTGGATCAAAGGTATTGAACACTTACTCTGCCCTTCTGAAGTCAGTGGGCTTTAGACATGTAAATGCCTTTGACTTTCCAAGCTTAATTGACAGAGGCAGTGAGAGTCTGAGACAATCAAGTTACCACATTTTGCTGAGCTACAGTATCTCTCAGTAAGTACGCCAAGTGAAGCGACTTAGATTAACATCTGATTTGAATTACCTTGTATTTGTCACAGCCACAGAGCATCCACTCAGGACAGCTATTGTGGAACAGCAAACTAAGTAACTTAATAAAACGGTAAGTCCCTTCTATGTTTGAATGCTAATTTTCAAAAGTGACTTACAGCCTTTAGAAGTCCAAGCACTGGATCCAAAGATTTGGGCATCCAAGGTACTGCAGTGTCTGCTTTTTGACTCCTGGGTCCAGACCAGACAGACGCTTGAAAACTGGATGATAGATGCGCAGAAGGTCTTTGCAAGCTGTATGGAGAGTTACTGCCTCAGAAGACATTACAAACTGCACAGAGGGTGCAGACTACTTAAATGCAGTGCAGTGACCTCACTACAGATGCAGTGACCTCAGGGTAAGCACCAGGAAAACGCAGAAGATTGGAATGAGTTCTAAATCCCATGCATAATAAAGATGCCTTATTCACAGCCGTGGCCAAGTACCTTTTTTCACTCTGATCCATGGCCATGAACTAGCAACACAAATGAAAGCTTAAATTAAAAATCAATTCTGCAGTGTACTTTTATTCATTTTACTTGCAATTATTTTACTATGACAATGCTAGAAAAAAATGACGATTTGGAAAAGGTGCTAGCCCCCCCCACCACCACCACCAATAGCTTACATCCTGAAATAATCAGTCTTGTTGCTCACCATCTGCAGCACTACTTTCTAAAGTAAATAAAGCTGTAAGAACAACTGCTCAGATTGAACCTTTGCATTTGTCATATGACAGTAGCTCATTTAAGGCCTGCTCCTGCTCAGCTGAAAGGTTCATATAGGCTTTAGTAGGATTCAGACTCACTTCTTAATATAGCATTCTGTGAAGACGAGACCCCCTTTTCACGGGTGGTGAGTCACTAATATTTATTCAGCAATCTCTGCCATTTTACAAATCCATAAGAGCTTTTGAAGCCTTCTATGCAATCCAAAAAGAAAAGCAAAAGGGGGTGGGATGCTCAGTATCACCGTGTAAAGTAAGAAGCAGACCTAAACCAGTGTGATTTTCAAACTCGTATCATTGCATTCGATTTCATAATGCAAACATCATAAAATAAGTTCAGCTCTTTCCATTTTTGATTCACCGATGTGTGTTCCTTGTTTTTTCTTCTGTGATTTTAGTTACCTATTATTTCAGAAGTCTGGGAATCTTGTAGATTTTTTTTTAATGCAGACTTTCTGCAAAGCAAGTTCTCCTAAATTTCAGACAACCTTCGTCTGAATGCATAAGAAAGTTACTCACTTTTCTGATGAACGTTGTCAGCAATGAGTGTGACCCAGTCACTGTTATCTCAACCTGGAAGCAGGACATTTTCATTCAGAATAAGTACTTAAAATAATGCTATTCTCACCAGCGCTGCTGTTAACGCATCTCCA